ATGAGGCCGGCGCCTCAACGAGAGCAGCATTTTGGGAAAAAATGACGCCGGCGCCTCAGCGAGAGTCGTTTCCCGGGATTTCCCGGGCATCCTGTGTGTAAAGAAACATTACGCGGAGGGCGCGCGGCAATCACCCGGACGCCATCAGGGGAAGAGGGAGAGTATAGTCATATCGAGTAATTGTGGAGGAGGAGCAGGAGGAGGAAGAGGAGGAGGAGGATGAGGAAAAGGAGGAAAAGGAGGATGACGGGGCGGAGGAGGAGGAGGAGAAGAGGAGGAGGAGGAGGAGGAGGAGGAGGAGGAGGAGGAGGAAGAGGAGGTGGAGGAGGAGGAGGAGAATGAGGGTTCGAGCAGGAGGAGTAATTCGGAGAAGTTAGAGGCGGTATGATGATGGTGATGGTGCCTGTAGAGGTGGTGGGGGTGACGATAGTGTTGCAGGTAGTGGAGGTGATGGTGATGGTAACGATGACGATGATTACGAGGAGGAGGAGGAGGCGGAGGAGGAGAAAAAGGATGAGAAGGAGGAGCAGGAGGAGGAGGAGGAGGAGGAGGAGGAGGAGTCGGTATTCTCCCTCCGCTTCGCGCCCGAGGCCGCCTCTGCACAAACCCTCGGACGTCATGTGGGAGGCTCCTTCGCGCGTACGACGGGAAGAGTGGAGGCAGGACGGAGGGCGACGGATCCCTCTCCTTTCTCATCCTGTCTTCTCCTTCCCCCTTCCTCAATCTTTCCCCCCTCCGTACAGCGGGCCCCCCAAGCTTCTGCAGGCGAGAATGCAGTCTGCTGAGGACAGTCACTGCTGAGGAAAAGTCTCGTATTTTCATGCTTCGTTTTCTTGGTGCACTCTCATCGAGAGACGCCGAATCTGCTCGTGCATGGTAGTGAAGTCGCTGGCGCCCTCGCTGGTCTCGCTGCGAAGGCCGTCTGTGCGAGCGCACCCGCCCGAGGCAGGGTTTGTAAAGAATCGAGCGTATGGCTTATCCAGTTCGAGTCTGGATCATCCGCAGCACCCTTGGAGCTCTTCCGGGCCGAGAAACAGCGTGACGGTTCGAGGCCGCGTGGGAGGCACCCAGGGCAGCGACCTTTTTGCAGCCAAAGGCTTCTAGTCTGTTCAACCCGAGGCGACTGTTCGAGGAGCAAGGTCGCAGCCATGGTCGGTGCGTGGCGTCGCTTTCCCATGACTGCAGAGCGGCATGGCTCGGATGCAAGTTCGACGGGATAGTGCCGTCCTTGCTGCTCCTCGTACTCCTTTCTACCATCTCCCCTCCTAGCCCCCTCTCTCCTCCTCCTCCTCTTCCTCCTCCTCTTCCTCCTCCTTCCTGTCCTCGTCCTCCTCTTCCTTCTCCCCGTCCTTACTCGGTCGAACAGGGGATGGCCTCAATGGCTGAAAGAGCACCTGCTGCCGTTACTGGCAAGCCCCCCCCCCCCCCGGTTCGAACCAGAGGGGAGTGGGTACGCCAGATTTCGTAATAAAAGGGAGGGGTCTGGACCCTCCAAGACAAGCCATTTCAGACCTCCCCCGCGGGAGAACCCTCCAAAACATCGTCCCCAGACCCCCCAGGCCCTCCAAGATAGCCTGGAAGAGACCCCCCCCGAAATGAGACCACCCTCCCTTTATTACGAAATCGGGAGTAAAAGCCTCCCACTCCGAATTGGGGGGGTCGAAGTAGCGCAGGTCGCGCCTGTAGCGCTGACTGATCCCAGCACGTCGCGGGCCCTCGGGCCCAGGCTGGCGCGGCGCGCGCCAGGCCTCACGCCTTGCTTGCTTGAGCCAGCACGCTGGCGGGGAGCAGCAGGGGCATGATCCCGATGTTCTCGACTCTAGTGGTAAACTCGTCGTAGTCGTCGATCTCGAAGTGAGCCTCAACTGCTCATCCACCCATTCTTGAATTTTCGCGGTCCTGCATCGGGTCCACGTCGTACCGCGCAGCATCTTGTTCGCACTCTCACCATATGAACCCACACCATTGATGTATGTCGTATATTTACTGCCACGACATGGTTATGCAGTGTCGGTCCCGGGCGAGCAGCAAAAAGATCACGAACAAGACTGGCGGCTCGACGATCCATAGCAGTGCTCGCAGATCTGGGCTGGAGCACACATCCAGATGATCTTCACAGCTTTTGCTCACGCACTGCCTGCCATTCGCCTCTCGCCACGCTCGTCAATACATCTCTGGACACGGCTCCTTCTGTCAAACCGTCCGCACAGCAGTCACGAGTAGCAATCAACCAAAGCGTACCCAACAACCGTGTATCCAGCAACTCGTGGATCCAAGGTGCATGATAAAGCGTGTGACGTTCAGCAGACATCTTCACACTTTCCGCCGTAATGCCGCTGTATACCGACTGTGCGTCCACACAAGCCTCCAGTTTCAACATCGGTTCCAGGCAGCCTTCCGTGCCATCGACAATATCTCGAAGCAGACGCGCTGATAGTTCTCTCCCCCTTGAACTTCAGAGAGGAATCCTGCCAACAGCAGCAGGCTGTCGCAACAGTCGGACAGCTGACATAATTCAGCTCCCCAGGTAGATCTTGCTACGTGCGCCTGCTTTCTCGCATAGAACTCTATGACGTTGCACTTGCCGCCAGGTCCTCGGCCTTCCTCCGCTGTTAAGTAAACTGCGCCTCTCATAGCCAGACCCTTGACGTACCGCCCTCTTCTGAGGGCTGCGTGGCCAACGGTCACTAATTTTGTTGGCTGCTTCAGCAGAGGATGCTCCTTGATGTATTTCAGCACATTCATACGGAGCACGTGTCCAACGCTGGGGTCATCTCTGCAACGCCGATACGTAGATGCATATCTCTATCCTCGTCATCACGCACCATGCAGTCGCGCCCAGGGAAGAAGGATATTGAATGATGATCGTTGCTGGTGGAACGTCCACGTCGCTCTTGCCCATGATCGGGTTCTGGTTTATACAGTTCAGGTTCTTGACGTACTCGATCGGGTCCACCTCTATGCTGATGGCCTTCAGCTTTCGGTGTCTTAGCCCACAGTGTATGGAGTCACTCTCATGCACCACCATATTGCCGAATGCGTTATCCAGCGCCCCAATCATTATCTCGGTGGTCTCGTCCTTTCATGCATAATTTCTGTCGTCAAGATGAGTACAGGCCATCAGGCTCAGTACACTTGTCACGTGTAGCAGTAATAGTTGCGAATCTTCGTGGGTCAGCTTGAGCCCACATGGTATCAACACTTGATCTCGTCGACGGCCGAATAATCGAGGAGCGTCGTTGGGACCGAGCCCGCCCTTCTCCACATGCATCGCTTTGCTGTTTCGGTTTACCTTCTCGAAGTTTTCCACTTCCGCCAACAGCTCTGCGGTACCATTTGGGAGCTCGAAGCATATGTCACGAATCCGTTCGTTCAACAGCTTGGCGACCTCCTCGATACAGCGACAGAGAACTGTCAACTTATGTCTGATCCAAGAGGGGCTTTCATTTTTTCCCATCCATCCTCTGGTATTGGGTCCTCGTTTTAAAGAGACAGCGCCCCGCGTTCCTGACTCCTCTCTCCTCCCCTCCCTCCTCCCATCCGTGCATTTGCCTTCCGCACAATCATTTCGGAGCAACTCTCACACGTTTCGTGGCCCCATAGGGAGTTCCACCGAAGGCCCCAGTGGCGCAGTCCACACGCGTCTACCCGCCACATTTCGGCACACCCATCGCACGTTTCGTGGTCCCACAGGGAACTCCGCTGAAGGCCTCGGTGGCACAGTCCAGATACGTCCCCCCGCCCCATGTCGGCTCCACCGAAGGCCCCGGTGGCACTGTCCACACGCGTCCCCCGCCCCAATTCGGCACACCCCTCACACTCTTGGTAGCCCCTTAGGGAGCTCCACCGAAGGCCCCATTGGCAGGGTCCACATGCGTCCAGCCGCTCCATTCCGGCACACGTCTTGTGGCTCCATATGGAGCTCCACCGAAGGCCGCGTTGAGATGGTCCACATGCGTCCCCCCGTCCCATTTCGGCACGCCCCTCACACGTTTCGAGGCCACCGAAGGCGACTCTCACAACTGAGTCCCTCATAATTGCACATAGTTGGGTCCTTCGCCAGGCTAATTTTGATTAGACCACGCAACCACATCACCACCCGCCATCCGCTCCGAGTGCGTAGTCTCTGGGCGACGGGGAACGGAGGAAGCCCAGGAAAACAGAAGACCCCCCGTTGGACGACGACGACGACGACGACGACGACGACGACGACGACGACGACGCCGCCAGGGGCGCGATGAAGGCGAGGCCGCAGAGGCAAAGCGGTAGGGGGGTGAGAGCACAGCGGGAGGGAGGGGGGGGAGGGGGATGGTTGTGGGTCGGAGCGGGTATCGGGCAGGAATGTCAGGCGATCGCAAACATGGATCAAGGGGGCGTGGATCAGCGACGGGTCCCGTTTCCACGGTAAATCGCGGATTTCTGCCGCCGAGCGAGGCGGCACGGGCCGCATGTTGGGGAGGGCACCTCCCCCGATCCATGGATTTGGCGACCGCGCGCCAAATCCATGGATCGCTAATCCATGTTTGCGCGCCCCCGAGAATGGGGAGGATGGAGGAGGGGCAGGGGGTCTCGGAACACTGGATGCTCACATATCGGCCCACGACGCGCGCAAGCCACAGGTGCCTCCGCTGTACTTGCCGACTGTGTGCTTCGAGCTACATTCACCGAGGCATGCTCGGCCTGTGCATGCGGGGCTCCTCTCCTCCTCCAAGTGCTGATGTTGTTTCTGCTGCTGCTCCCCTTCCTCTTCCTCCCTTCTGTTGTCTTTCTCCCCCTCGTCTTCTTTCACCTCCCTCGTCTTCCTTCCCCTTTCTCCCTTCTCCGCCCCTTCTCGCCCCTTCGTTCTGTCGCCAAGCCCTGGGTATGTGCCTGCGGCAAGTCCCACCACCGTGCCAGCGCAGAACTCCATGTGGCGAGGCTTCAAGCACCGAAGGCCCTTTCTGGGGCTATCTTGGGCTCCCCTGGGGCCCTCCTGGGGCCCCCATTGGGCCGTGTTGGGTCCCCATCGGCCGTCTGAGGACTTTGTTTGGCTGTCTCGGAGGCCTCTTGCGGCCCTCTTGGACTATCTTGGGTCCCTCTTAAACCTTCCTGGGCTCCTCTTGGCTCTTGGACCGTCATGTGGAGTTCTTGGGGCTGTCCTGGGCCGTCCATGTGGGCTTCAGGAGGCCCCCATTGGACTCATGTGGTTTCTTTTTGCCCAAACGATTCACGCACGGCTGCCGCCCCTTTGCACGCAGCTGTTGCATCTTCTCGAGGCGCTTGGAGATCGCGTGCGCAAAAGGGCCCGCGCGCGTGCCTTGGGGGGAAAGCTTGGCGGGTGTAGCCATGGTGAGTAGTAGTAGTAGTAGTAGTAGTAGTAGTAGTAGTAGTAGTAGTAGTAGTAGTAGTAGTAGTAGTAGTAGTAGTAGTAGTAGTAGTAGTAGTAGTAGTAGTAGTAGGAACGTGGTTCCCATGCTGGACCTCAGCGAGGTCAAGATGGGGGACGATATAGGTGAGCATGAAGACCATCACGAGGGGAAACATGACGAACAAGTCTCAGATAGCCTGGTAAAGCGCTGGTTGCCAGCCGAAAAACGCATACATGTCAACCTGTGCTGCTTACGCAAGGACTACCAGGCAAGCAATACTACGAGGATGCCGTTTACTAAGATCGTGCAACATAACCTCACTGTGTATTTCCTGAAGTACCCCGAGGGCGGCCCGTCAACCACTACATGATTGACACTCTGGGCCCAGATCCGAAAAAGGGATCGTACCAGCCATGCGCACCGTCGGATAGCGAGAACGATCCGCAGTACGACTCCAACGGTAAGCATTCACCTCTTGGTCCCGAAATGCCGAGTGCGAAGTCGAAGCCGAGTGCCGAGGACGAGGAGGAGGGGGAGGACGAGGAGGACGACGAGGCTGTGGACGGGGACGGGGACGGGGAGGAGGAGGAGGAGGAGGAGGAGGAGGAGGAGGAGGAGGAGGAGGAGGAGGAGGAGGAGGAGGAGGAGGAGGAGGAGGAGGAGGAGGAGGAGGAGGAGGAGGAGGAGCATTCACCATTTGAAGCCGAAGTGCCGAGTGAGAGCGCGGCTCTCGCCAGTACCGAGACGGCGGCGCCGAGTCTGCGCGCGGCTCGCGCCTAAAGCGAGGGCCTGGTGGTTGGTGTTTGGGGCACTGGCTTCGCGGAGGACGGGCTCCCTGCTGTAGATTCGGGCTGGGCGAAAGGGGGGGATTGGGAAAGGGGGGTTACGAAGTTTGCTGCATGCAGCTGGTTTCGGCCTCATTGAGGGGCCCCTTCCTCGATACATAGCCGCCTCCGGCGCCGGGAGGCGCCGGGAGAATCAGCTGCGTGAGCTGATTCTCACCCCCCCCCTTTACTATCCCCCCTTTCGCCCGACCCGATAGATGTGCCATGCCCCCGGCCTCACGAAGACGTCTACGGCATTGGGGGCGATGCTCCCGAGCCCTCCGACAGTGTGTCTCTTGGACGCATCCCTACCCCTTACACCGTCGCTCGCCACGGAGAGCCTTCATTGTTAGGCGGCCGCGCCGCTGTCAGTGAGAGGGCCAAGGAGATTCCCGAGACGGCGCACAATCGCTGTCCTGAGCTCAGCTCAGGCCTCCGCCTGGCCGACCCCGTAAAAGTTCTGGCATTGGCAGCCCTGCTTCGAGCGGGGCGACCTCGGCATCTAGGAGCCTGTGCGACTTATCCTTTGACCAGGAGAAAGAGTCGGCGGCTAGCCCAGGGGGGGAGTCAGAGGGGGCAGGCCTTCTCGGAAGGCGGCGGGGCTTCTCAGAAGCCCTCGCGCCTGTGGAGAAGTTTTTTGTGTCTTTGGAGAAGGCTTCGAAGAACTTTCAGAAGGCGCGAGGGCATTTGAGAAGCCCCGTCGCCTCCTGAGAAGGCCCCCCCCCTCTCACTTCCCCCCCCCCTGGGCTCGCTGCCACGAGGAGGTAAGAGGAGCAGGCTGCAGGCTGCCTTCGACGGCTGCTTCGGTGGTTTGCAGGTCTTATGCGCGGCCGACTGGGGACGCGGCCTCCAGCGGCCCGTGCGTGGCGCCGACTGGGGGCGAGGCCCCCGGCGGCGCCCAAGAGAAGGCGAGAGGAACCGGCTGCGTCCGACGGCTGCTCCGGCGGCGTGTGCATCTCACGCGCGGCCGATGGGGGGCGCGGCCGTCTGCGCGTGGCGCCAGCCGGGGGCGAGGCCTCCAGCGGTGTGCGCGTGCGCATCGGTATCGGAAGCGCGGCCCCCGAAGCCAGTGCAAGTCGAGGAGCAGAAAACGGCACAAACGTACATCTTCGGAGCTCCGCGCGGATTTCTCGGATCGGCGCTGGGCCCCCTCCCTGGCGCGCGGAGCGCGCCAGGGGCGGCGCCAGAGGTGCCGCCAGGGGGGTCAGCGCAGATCCAAAAATCCGCGCGGACCCTCGAAAGTTTATGCTGATGCAGTCTTTTCTTCCTCCGGCAAGGCCGCGCGGCATCCGTGCGCCCTAGGAGCCCAGGCCGCGCCCGTCAGGGAAAGGGCCGTCGAGAATCGCCACTCCTCCCGGGTGTCGCATCAGACCAAGCGAGAGGCCTTCGCCGTCGACTCCGAGAAGCGGCCACAGGGCCCGATCGGGGCGTGCTCCTCAGTGGCCTGCGGCGTCGGTCGTCTCGGCTTGGAGCTGGCTGTCGGTGGACGAGCAGAGCTGCGCGTTCGGGAAGCAGTGCGCTCCCCAGGCTGGACGCCGATGCCCGGGGGAAGCTGTGGCCTGTCGAAACCCGTGCGCGCCCTTGCAAGTAGTGCAGCTTGGACCACCTCTGTTGTGACTGCACGCGTGCTGCGCTCCTGGAGGAGCGGAGCTGGAGGTGGCCGAGCGCGACAGAAACGAGTCTGATCAGAGGGCCAAAGACGAGTCATTTGAGCAGAGGAGGATCCGAGGCGGGAATTTAGACATGACCGCCGCTTGGAGGATCAATTTTTGGAGACATCGGTGGATAAGGATATATTCTGGCCCCCCGGGCCCAAATATATCCATAGCCGCCGCCCGCGGGGGCGCCAGGACGTCGGTTCCCAGGCGGTGGATATGCACAAATTCCCGTCTCGCAGAGGAGCCGGCTGCATCGGATGGAGGTGGCGCAAGCTGCCAGGTCGGCGCGCGGTGCCGCCGAGACGGAAGCACGGAGGCATCGGGCTGAGGATGAGGCTGTCGAGACTGATGGGCGCGGTCAGGTGTTCTCTTCTCACGCTTTCCGAGCGCGTCCAGGAGGCCGCGACCGAGGCCGACATGGCGAGAGAGAACCTCGAGGTGAGAGCCCGAGAAGCCCTGGTGGCCGTCCGCGCCCTGGTGGGAGCAAAGGTCCGCGCCCAGTCTTGGGGGCCCGTCGAAGTGTGCGGGCCGCGTCGGCTCAAGGAGTCGAGATCCTGGAGCTCGAGCTGGCCGCGATGGAGGCGCCGGCCCTCGCGACCGCCGCGGCTTGCCAGGCCGAGGCCGCGGATCTCCAGAGGTGGCCTCTGCAGGGTGAGGCATGCGCCGCGGCTCCGCGGGCGCCGCGCACCGCCGCTGCGGTCGCTCCCGCCGCCGCGGCCGCGAGGGCGACCGGGGCGCGGGCCGCGGCCAGGGGCAGAGGCGACGGGGAAGAATGCTTCCACGCCGGTCGTTGACGTCGAAATCTACTTCAGGGGCTTGCCGACTTCAGGAGTCGGGATTTTTTTTCTTCCCCCCTCCTCTTCGGGGGGCGGGCGGGGGCGCAATCTACTTCCAACGCCTTCCTACTTCATGTTTCTTTCTACTTCTCCCGACCGACGGGTGCCGTTTCTGAGTCAGAACTGCGGCTGCGCACGCTGCAAATGGCCGTGTTGCGCGGGCCACTTCGACAGAGGCGCCCAATGATGATGCCTCTGCTCGAACAGGGAGGCGGCCGAGTCGGTGCCGTCTCCGTCGCAAGCCCCATCGACGTCGAGCCGCTGTTGAAACCCTTTGGCCTCTGAAGTATCGTCGGCTTCGACGAAGCCCATCGTCGACGAGGAGGTCGGCAACGAATCGGTCGAACCTCGCGAGTAGCAGCAGCCTGCCGTCGTCGAGCCCGTCGACCTCGGTTCACCTCGTGAACCTCGACAGCAGCCGCCGCCTACTACCTTCGAGCGCCTGGAGGTGGAGTATGTCTCGGGTGAGTGGGTGGTCATCTCCAGTGGGGCCTGGGGGCGGGAGAAGCATGTTGCTGCTTTCGAGGCAGGGGCACTCGTCCACGCGCTGAGACACGTTCTATTGCTGCTGGCAGAAATCTGGGCGGGGTCACTGGGGGTTCCCAACCCGCCCCCCCCCTAAAACCAGGGGAGGGTCACTACCGGTTCGAACCCCTCCCCCCCCCACAGTCCATCATGAAAAGGGGGGGGGTCACTACCGGTTCGAACCCCCCCTCCTCCCCTCGAAAACCGGGGGGGGGGGTCACTACTGGTTCGACCCCCCCCCCCTCGCTGCCGGCAAACGATTCCCGCTCCTCGGGACAGTTGGACAAAGGTGGGGATGCTGGGGCAGTGGTGGGAACGGTGGTGGTGGGGACAATGGTGCGGGGACAGTGGGACAGTGGTGCGGACGGTGGTGGGGGCGGTGGTGGTGGGGACAGTGGTGAGGGGACAGCGGGACAGTGGTGGGGACAGTGGGGATGTCGACGATGACGATGATGACGATGCTGACGATGACGATGACGATGATGCAGATTATGCTGCTGCTAAGGATGATGATGATAATGACGATGATGTCGCTGCTGCTGATGATGATGCTGATGATGATGTTGATGATGATGCTGCTGATGACGATGGCGAGGAGTACGCTGAGGAGGAGGAGGAGGAACAACAATGCTAATACTATTAAGAATGCGAACAATGAGACTAACAATAATAACATGAATATTTATAATAAGGACAAACATATTTACACCAGAAAAGTAGTAATACGAAGACGAGCAATCATAAACATACTGATTCTAAACACAATAATACTGCACATACGAAGAATATTATTACGACTGCTACGCATAAAAGAATAGTACTAAGAAGAGTGGTACTACTGATAACAACACTATCATGCATACTAAGAGAATACTAATAAGGCTAATCGTAATCTTACTTATACTAGCACTAGCAATGATAATACGACTGCGGAACATAGTGAAGATAGTGAGAGTATGAAGAAGATGAGTTTTTCCAGTGGTAATACGACGACTACTACTACTACTACTTCTACTGCTACTGCTGCTACTACTACTACCACTACTACTACTACTACTACTACTACTACTACTACTACTACTACTACTACTACTACGACTACTACTACTACTATTACTACTACTACTACTACTACTACTACTACTACTACTACACTACTACTACTACTACTACTACTACTACTACTACTACTACTACTACTACTACTACTACTACTACTACTACTACTACTACTACTACTACTACTACTACTACTACTACTACTACTACTACTACTACTACTACTACTACTACTACTACTACTACTACTACTACTACTACTACTACTACTACTACTACTAGTACTCGTAACATTAGCAATTCTAAGCACACGATCAATACTACTAGTCTCGAGAACAGCAATACTACTAAGACAAACGTTACGAGTTATACTATTCCTAAGAATAGAAGTGTTAATATTACGAATAATCTGACCTAGGAATAATATTGTTACCACTGATAAGAAGAAGATAATGAAGACGATGTGGACGAGAACCGAATGGCTGAGGAGTTGGAGGAGGAGGAGGAGGAGGAGCGGGAGGAGCAGGGGGAGGAGAGAGGAGGAGGAGGTGGAGGAGGAGGAGGAGGAGGAGGAGCGGGAGGAGCAGGGGGAGGACGAGGACGAGGAGGAGGAGGAGGAGGAAGAGGAGGAGGAGGAGGAGTTGGAGCAGTTGGAGGAGTTGGTGGAAACGGAGGGGGAGGGCGACGGCGGCGCTGGGCAGGAGACTTGCGAGCGGTGGTTCGTCGCTCTGCAGCACTCCTGGGCGCACCGCTGGCGGAGACTCCGCGGAGGACCAGACCGCCGCGCGCGCGTGCGGGCGCGGGCTTCTCCGTCAGGCCATACCCGCTGCCAGGCTGGCTCCGATCGAGCGCTGCGCCCGTGATCGATAGCTGTTGGAGTGCTGACAGCGCCTTGGCGGCTCTCCGCACGCTGGGCACTCTCACTGGGTGCGCGCTCTTTCCTTCGCCTCACATCACGCCCTCGTGTGGAACAAGAAAAGCAGTTGATAGATCGTGGAACGCATGATAGCCCAATTCGGGTTGCCCTCGTTAACTGACCTTCCCTTGCAGGGCACGTTGGCGGAGGTCGTCTCCGCCTACAAGGTCGGGGTCCTCAGTGGGCATTCGTCCGCTCGCAGAGGGGCTTCGTTGGACAAACACACTTTTCGGCGACGAGCCCGGAGGGGAAGTGAGAAGGGGCGGGCCTTCTCAGAAGGCGCGGGAGTCCCCCAGCCTTTGAAATTTTCTAAGCCTTTCCCGAGGACGCAGCAAACTTCTCAGAAGGCTTGAGGTTTCCTGAGAAGCCCCGCCGCCTTCTGAGAGGGCCCTCTCCTTCCCACTTTCCCCTCACGCTCGCCGCCGAACTTTAGCGTAACCCTGTGAAGCAATCAGTATCTCTGGGAGGCCATGGCTTCACACGCTCCACCCTTGAGGGGCCCGGGTGACTGCCCGCATGTGGGTTCCGTTCCGTTACCCTCCTTGTCCCCATCGTAGGAGTTTCTTGACGCATGCGTGGTCGCAGGTACAGACCCGATCATGCTTTCCTGGCGTGCAGGACTTAATTCCACTTTGGCGCCTTTCAGTCTCTGTCATGCACGTTGCACCAGCTACCCTGGGCGTCTGCAGGCCACCCAGCCAGCTCCCCCCAGCAGCAGCCCCCCGGCAGCCGCTTCTGAGTGCTGGCCCAGCCGTCTCGCGCGTGGCTCGGTAGTTGATTAGGCAGGACCGTGCCCCCAACCCCCCTCTCGGCGACTTGCTTTACGCGTCTGCCCGCTGCTGACCAAAAAAAGTATCTCTAGCGCTGCTCAGCCCCTGCAGCCCCCCCCCCTGAGGCCTCGGCTGCGCTTAGTTGTCGCCTCGCCCGTCGCTCTGTTGGTTTTCCCGCGTCCTCTTGCATTTTCCGCCTCGGCCTCCTGCATGCACACTCTGGCAGTACTGTGTCCCAGTTTTCTGCTGTTAATTAGTCTGTGGCGCGTACCCGCTTCGACTTGACATGCCGCCGGCGCTTCCGCCCGCGGCCGTTGACTAAAAGGATCTCTGGCGCTGCCTCTGCTTAGTGGCTCCGTCGTTTTTCCGCGTCTCGCCGGCGACAGTTGCGCTGTGCTCTTTTCAGGCTTGCGCTCTTCGCACGACTTCACGACGCCGCGCGGGTGTCCGCTCACAGTCGCGATCAAAAATGCCCCCACCAGCCCCGGCGCCACTCAGCATCTTTCGGCGGCAGCTTCGGCAGCCGTGAGTGCGCTCGCTGGGTAATTTAGGCTCCGCCCGTAGCCCGGGTCGACCTTTGACGCCGCCTGCGTGTTCGCTTGCAGTTGCGACCGAAAAATCCCCACCAGCCCATCAAGAAACGATCGCTAGGTGATTTGCTCTGATCAGGGAAGGCCACGTGGAAGAATCGGTGGGAAACCGTATCCATCCAGAAATGGATCATGAAGATTATGTGGGAGGATTAACCATGTTGGAGGTTGCCTTGGCCGTCATGGGGCCCCAGAGAGTCCACAAGGTGATAACGCCAGAATCCTTCAAACAACTTAGGACAATAGTGTTTTTGGCCTCTGGGGGCGCTCTTGGGGGTCCTTTTGGGGCCCTGTATTGCCGTCCTGGGGGCCTCTTGGGCCATCTAGGGGCCATCTTGGGCCATCAAGAGGCCGTCTTGGGTCGTTTTGAAGTCATAGCCGTCTTGAGTGGTCTACAGATCTACGGATGTGGCGCGACTGTTTGGGGCAGGGGGATAAGGGAAGTGACGTAATTATGTAAAACGATACGATCAGTGGTCGTTTGCTTAATTTGGCGACGCGGGGCATGTTGCGTTAAAGCGTTTGCCCGACCTGGTTTCGGCAACGCGTCATTCCTGAATGTGGGTTCCTGTCGCTTCGCGGGGTGCACGTCCGGAGCGCGTACAGTGAAACCGTTGCCGAGGGGGCGCCCCTGGCAAGCGCGGCAGGTCCACCAGCAGTTTGATGACATGCTCAGCCCCGATAGTGAGCGCGCCAAGCGCCGTCTCCCCCAGCCACCAGCGGACACGCCCACCACAGTCACCTGTCACCTGTCTGTGGGGCAACACGACGTTGTCGTTGCCCAGACCGCCAACCCTATTCGCGGATGGCGTGGGACGGCCACAGGCCACACCTGGCCTCAGCACTGCGACTTCTTCCTGATCGGGATGTGTCCGCCCAGCTTGCTCGTGCCAGTTTCGTGCCACGCCGCGCCGAGTCGGCGACCACAAAGGGTATGGTTACGCCGGGGTGTGGTTTGCGATCGGCACCGTTGGGGTTTGGAGGGCACGACACTGTCCTCGTCGGGCCTCTTCGGGGCGCGGGAGACCTCTATCGAGGTCCCCGCGCGCCCCCTGGGGTGCCACCCGCAGACCACACCCTCTGCAAGCCACACCCTTTGAAGTCGCCGACCGAGGAACCACACAATTCCGCGGCCGAGTCCGGCGCAGGCGTGATGTCGGCCCCCCACGCTCCAGAGCGGGCGCCTTGCCTCCACCCAAGGCTCTGCTCCAGCCGCCTCGCCCCGCGACCGCAGCATCGATCATCACATCTGTCCTGCGCCATTGTTGGATAAGTTGGAGAAGAAATGCATTCGATGGACAGCATCACGCCAGGCGAGATCTTTTCGATTGCAGGTCCAGGGCAGCGAATCCATCAGACACCAGTGCCTCTGGAGGATGCTCTGTTCAATGGGAGCAGTGGTCCTGCCACGGGCGCCCTTTCGTGGCCGCCCGCTTCCTCGTGGCCGAAGCCCAGCTTGCGGCCTGGCGCAGCTTCCCTCCTTCTCCCCGTTCGTGCGTCGGCCTGCGCTCGTCTGGCCACGCCGCGCCGCCGCGCCGCCCCGCCTCGACCGCCCACGAACAAACTGGCCCTTCTATGACCGCCAACCTTGGATGCCAAGCATACCCGATCGTGCACATTAGGGATCTGTGGAGCACGCATGGGCCATGCGGCCCCCTCTGACAGACCCCCTGCTGCGGACCCCTGCTTTCGCCCTCCAAATCGAGGGCGTGCCTCTTACCGATGTGTGGAGCACGCACGGGCCATGCAGCCCCCACTGACAGACCCCCTGCTGCGGATCCCTGCTTTTGCCCTCCAGCTCGAGGGCGCGCCTGGCAGAGGGCACGCGCCGCTTCTGCCAGCCTGGGAAATGGCGCTCGGGGCGCTTTCGACGGCAGCCTCGGGTGCCGTGTGCGACGCCTGGGGGGGCGCAGCGCCGTCTCCCTCCAGCGCCTCCTCGTCTCGCTCGTCGGCTCCTGGGAACTTTTGACTTCGCGCCGACTTCCCTGCGTCGCACCGTGGGCAACTGACCCTGCTGCGGCGGCCAATTTGACGCATCCCCTGCTGAGCAAAAGCGCCCGCCGCGCCGTCGGGTTGAACCGACTGCGCCTCGGTCAATGTCGCGAGGGGGCACCTTCCTGTCCCCCCCTTGGCGGCTCTGTTTGACACCAGCGTCGCGGTCCCTTTTTCTTCACTTCCTGAGCCGTATCGACATGCCTGACGCAGTTCTCGGCGCTGTGCCTTCCGAGGCATCGCCTCCGCTGTTGTGCCCCTTCGCTTTGGCTGTCATGGGCGCAGCCAGCAAACTGGGGGGGTGGGGTGGGCGTGGCCCCCCGTTGCCACGAGGGACCATGGCGTGATCGTGTCGCCTTCTCTCCCCTCCTCTCCGCTTCTCCTAAGAGTCGGGGGTGGACTGAACCCCCACCCTGACACGTCGATTAGTGAATTTTCCGTTTTCGATTCTCGAGAGGGCGCCGCGGCCGTCATTTTCCAGGCTTGCGCCCGCCAGGTTTGGGCCCGAGGTCGTTTTCGCTAACCCACGTTTTACCAAAGGAGGTTCTGTCCATTCCCGAAAGAGGCATGTCCGCGCTATGGGGAATATCTTGGGGAGGTCTCGCGCAGCGCACATTAGTTGTACTTATCTAGTCCGCACGTCCGCCCCGGCAGGAACGGGATGACGTCTACGCGGCGACGCTCCGATGTACCTCCGACGTAACTTCGACGCGAGTCCGATGTAAGTCCGACGTGGATCTGACGCGGATCCGACGTAAACTGGGTCTCATGTTGCCGCGCGAGACCGCCAGGATTTTCTCACAGCATCCCTCGTGTTCTGAACCTCCGCTGGTGTTTCAGAACTCTCGCCTGCACGTGGCAGGGCTGGCTGCAAATCTGTACCAGGGGTCGGCCAACACGTTGTTCCCCGCCCGACGGGTTGGGGTTGTAAGACTTCAAGAACAGGCCCCGGGCCAACCCCACACTGCATACCGCGGTCGCCAGACCCCAAGATGTCTGGAGAGTCCCGGGTGTCCCGCCTCGCGCCCGGCCAACCCGTCCCTGTATACCGCGGCCGCCAGACCCCAAGTTGTCCCGAGAGTCCCGGGTGTCCCGCCTCGCGCCCGGCCAATCCAACCCTGCATACCGCGGCCGCAAGACCCCAAGTTGTCCCGATGATCCCCGAGAGTCCAGGGTGTCCCCACTCACGTCCTCGACGAATACGACAGAACACAACATGACAGAACATGACAGAACAGACCAGAGCAGAACATGACATAACATATGACGACATACCACAACATAACATAACACAACCGAGCATAACATAACACACCTTGGAAAGAGCGCGTTCCGTGGTCGCTCGGGGGGGGGGGGGCGGTTTGTAACTGGACCCCCCCCCTGGATGGAGGAGGGGGGGGGGTTCGAACCCCCCCCTCCCATGACGGAGGGGGGGGAGGGTTTCGACCCCCCCCCCTCCTTCCCCTCTCCCTCCTCCCCTACATCTCCTCTCTCCCTCTTCTC